TTTTTTTACTTACAAACTCGACTACAAACATAGATATAGCAATTAAATAATTAGAACGAGACCATTATACTTTTAGGCGGTAAACGATAAGGTGTTTACGTGTCCGCGCATACATATTACAAGGAATTCATTGATAATACACATTCGTTTTATGCAACTGTTGGCTTGTGAAATTGAATATTTTTAAAGCTCTGATCTCTGATATAGACTTTGCAGATGATTTTTTCATAGACGCGTTTTTCAGTGTAAACAATTTCAGATCGTGCCGAGTCACACGGTCCCCCCGGGCTGTAAAATACTTTGAATACGCATAGGAAACTTTAATTAGTCTTGGCTTTATTTATAAATAACAATTGTGTGCTGAACTTATAGCTAGTTGTATCTTTAACGCACGCCATCTATTAAAGTCTTAAATAGACACTAGTACTTAAGAAGAGTGAGACATGAATATTCTGGACCCAAAAAAACTTAGTTTTCTGTGTCAGTTGCGAGTGCTGCGCTTCATGAAACATTCAGTTCTCAGTTTGCCTGTTCCGTTTTTTTAGTTATGTTATGTAACCTTGGCTTACTAGGACTCTTAATTATTGCATTTTTTTTCATTGAATACATTGAAAGGCACATTTCCAATGGTGAAAACTAAATTGACAATGTATCGTCTGATTAACATGCCAAGGCACCTCGCTTTAGTTCTTGATTTCTGATATAACGAAGAGCCAGCTTGCATTAAATGATATGGAAACTTGTAGGAGCTACTTAATATTGTGTGAGTATCTATGGAGGATGTGTCTGCAAGTTATAGTGAAGTGTAACAACTTTAATGTTTGAGTTTAAATTTTTGTATGAATCGTTTGGGGTTGAATAGAAATATCCACCGGAATATTGCACCAAAGTGACGAAACATCAGTTAACTTAGTACTGAAGTACTGTAGTGCGATACAACTATCGGCATCTGTCGAATTTTGAAATACCAGCCTTGTATTTCTATGGACTCGGTTGACAGGCCCTCTTTACTTATTCGGTGCTAATGTTACATACACAGTTAAGCGCTTACAGTACTTGTAACCGCTTCCGTTAAAGCTGAATGCAAACGCTTCTTAGAGAAGCTGCGAAATATTTTCTAGTTTGATAAACGCCTCCGTGATTAGTTCCTTTTAAGGAGGTTGGATTCACGCGTATTTTGTTCACTTGAGAGTGTTGTAGCTTTCCGTTTTTGAAACGCACTACTGTTAAAGTTAGAAGAAAGTGTAGGCAGCCTACCTATAGGCGTAAAACATAGTCTACTGGGAAGATGAAAAAATAATTTTGGCCTGGGCGCGGCGGCCATGTTTGTTTGTTTGTGTTTTTTTTCTTCATCTTTTTAAAAGTCCCGGGTAAATTAGAACCCAGTCTGCGTGCGCCAAAGAAACTGTATCCAGCCTCCTTTATAGTTAGCGTTTCCGTTCAGGGTAAGACCTTGGGTAATCAAGATCGTTCCTAAAATAGAAGACGAGTTGGACCGTGATACTGGATAGAGTAGTAAAGACCCGTTTACGTTGTTGACCTCTTCGATATAAGAAAGTCTCGAAGAATAGAAAAAGGAAAAAAGAAAGGAAAGATCCTATATTGGTTTGGTGTTTATCGCACGCGCGTGTATCAACCTAGGAAGCGAGAGCCAATTTTAACTTGAAAAAAAACATTTACCGTATATGAATTGAAAACTTGACGAAAAATTATGCTCTGTTAGAATGAGCGACTTCTGCAAATTTATGAAGTACCAATAACACTTTTTAAAAAGCAGATATGATCCCGTTTACTTTTCCTATGGAAAAAATGTTTATGAGAGGTACTTACGCGGTAAGCTAGTGTGCTTAGTTTTTGATATCACTTTTATGCATCGATGAAGATACCTAGAATCAAAATATTCGCGTTAAAAAAGCAAGTGTTTATTAGCATAATATTCTTCCTTCTTTTCACAAAATGTGTTTCAGATTTTTATGCTGAATCACATGGCTCCTATTTGTGATTTTATTTAGATTCAGACCATGGTGAACACCCAAAAGATCCAGAGTTTGGCGTTCATTTACGACAGGAAAACAGCACCGTGTTACACGGGGAGGACTTATGCAACGGACAGGAAACGCCAGAAAGAGACTGTAACCAAACACTTCAGCCTTTAAAAGAAACAAAGAGTATATCTACATCAACGGAAGATATCATGTTTACGAGCAAAGAAGATAAATGTACATCAACGGATGATTTGGAAATTTTTGGAATAAAAACGGAGTCTGCGGAAAGCTCAGACTTTGAGAACAACGACGACAAAGTTCTCGAGTGCGCAGGGCCTGAGTTCCATGCTACAAGTCTTGTTGAGGCAAGTAATGACGCCTGCGCGGGAAGTGAATACCCAGCTCCAAATCTGACCGATGCGACAAAAGTACAGTTACTGCAAACCCAGTTACTCGCCATGCAAACACAAAGTGTTCAAGAACGAAGGAAATTCAGCGATACTCGACGATATTGGACGGACCCCATGATAGCTAATAATTTAGGAATGAAGGAACTGCAAAGAGCGTCTAGTTCACCGAGCTTATTGGGTGAGTCAGCCATTTCCTGAGCAGCGGTTACGTAAGATAAAATACACTGGTTGTTAAACGGCCTGGAGTCAGCGGAGGGTGTAAGTTTAAGTTGGACTCACCATGAAATCTTTTCCCGCCCCCCTATCCAGACCACTCATTCAGCTCTATCCATGTTTCTGAAGTCTTATCTCTTTAAATGTAAGGAGGTCATAACAATGATAAAGAATCAAATAGGAATAGTTTTTAGTTATTGAAAAATCCCGCTTGCGGAAAGAGATACTAAATTGTCGCAACGTGTTCGACTACGCTATTTTTTCCGGTATGTCGACAAGAGATTATGATATCTTGATGTTGACTATAAAAAGCTGAGAAAGCTTTTTACTTCACACAGAAAAAGAGATGTTATTTTTCTCTCACATGGCAACACGCTTATCCATGAAATTTCATTTTGCAGATGGGTGTGGCGAGAATAGTACAGAGAAAAAGAATCTCCATTGTAAAGATGGAGCGTCGGTCCCTAAACGACGCGTGTCGGACGGCAATAATCCTTTCTCATCTGATTTTATCCCTCGCTCGCGACCATCGTCATTTAACGATAGTGAGCTTAGCACAGTTCCTGAGGTGACTGTTTCACAAGATGAAGAACGTAATGACGGTGAAGACAGCTCCAGATCACCTTCTCCTAATTCAAGGGTAGGATTTACTTTGAACTTTTCTGTCACATTTTTTCTTAATCAGTGATGTTAAGTGACATTGTCTTTGCTTCCCCAAAAAAATACCTTTAAAAACTGAAGTAAATGTAGCGTTTACGGCGACCAAAATCTAAATTCTCAAGTTCAAGGGCGTGTCGCTCCAAAACGCGGTTAACGAGGTGTTTGGGACTATTTTACTGATCGAAATGACAAACCAAAGTTGACTGTTTGCACGAATCTTTGTAGGTAGGTAGGTAGGTAAGACTTTATTTAACGAGGGTAACATGTGACAGTAATGAAACTGATAAACTAATGGCCCTCGAAAATTAAAATTCGGAAAAAAAAAAGGAATTGTAACAAACGTAACAATATTAGGAATAATTAAAATAAAATAATTAACCTATATACATCATAAAATATTTAAAAATATAAAAAAAATTACAGGAATAATTTGCTAAGAATTTGATTATCTAAAATTATTTTAAAAAGGGAACGCTTAAAACGTTTTACACTGGTACTCCGTTTGATGTCCACACTTAATTTGTTCCATTCTTTCGTGGCTCGCACAGCAAACGCTCGACCCCCTTCAGAACTTCTCTTAAAACGCGGGCACATTAAGTTTAAATTACAGAAACGGGTTTGTCTATTATGAGTGTCAGAGTTTCTGATAAGAATATCATTTATATATTGCGGGGTATTTCCATTAAGCCTTTTGTAGGTTAGAGCGCATCGATTGACGTATGATTCAGCATAAAAAGGAACCCACTTTAAGGTGTTAAATAAGCCGACAGAAGGTGCTGTTCTTTCGGCATCAAGGATAATTCTAGCCGCACGTTTTTGAAGACGCAGGACTTTCAAAAGATTTTCTTTACTGCAAGAAGTCCATGTCGTGCTACCGTAAAGCATTACAGGTTTAATGATCGTAGAGTAGTATATGTCACGTTGATTGCGTTTCAGATAAGGACTTATGTGACGAAGGAGTCCAATACGTTTCGCCAACTTTTTGCATAACTCCTCAATTTGGCGATTAAATGAAAGATCCTGATCCAATGTTATCCCAAGTAGTTTGAAATCAGTAACATGTTCGATATTGCTTCCATTCAAGCTAACATCTAAGATGCCGCTAACTTAAGCACCTTCGCACTAAGGCCGTCACATCCAATTGCCTTACTTGAAGGGATCTTTTTAATGAGATCAAGCATTTGCGTCTCAGTAATAGGTGGTATTTCAAAGGATTGATTGCCTGACTTTGACTTTACAAATTCGTAGAGAGCCAGATCATCAAAAACTAAGTCTGCGACGTGCTGACTGTCAGGGGTAATCTGTGAAGCAATGTTGATAAAAGCGTCATTCATATTTTCAGCAATTTCTTGTTTATCTGTTACGACGCCATTCACCGTAATTAATTGTCTGATAGAAATTGGGTCATTCTTAACACCGCTTAAAGTCTTAAGCGCCCTCCAGATTCCTTTGGGGTTCCCTTTGTTCTTATCTATTGTTTCCTGGAAGAAACATCGTTTTGCATACTTTATCAAATTTGACGTTTTGCATTTTGCACGAGTGTACAAAGACCAGTCGATTGAAAGGTTTGTACAACGGGCTGTTTTCAGCAGATCATCTCGTTGACGTATCAAATCCATAATTTCATCATTCATCCAAGGGGGCTGGTTTTGCCTCTTTACTCGCCTGTTTTTCCAGGGCAAATGCTGATCGAGAACCTCATTGAGCATACTCTCAAGGGCATTCAAAATATCGTCAATGTCTTCAAATACGAATGCAGTGTCCCAAGGGATACGTTCCAGTGATTGAAGGAGCTCATCTAAATTCAAGTTCTTTGTTTCCCGATAGGAAATTGTCGTATGTTCTGACTCACAATCTCTTCTTTGTTTGGCGTATTTACGCTGAATAATTAGAGGAAGGTGGTCCGCAAGTCCAATATTTAGGACTGATGTTTTTACAATAAATGCTGGATGACTTGTATAGCAATGATCTAGGCATGTACCACTCTTAGGTCTTGTAACAGAAGAAATAACTTGGTTAAGGGCCATGTTTTTCAGAGCTTTGGCCAACCTATGACTATTGTAGGCATGATCCAAATAGTTAAGATTAAAATCACCTACAATAATTGTCTCACGGTTCTGCAGATAAGCATTTTCAATATTCTTCTCGATCCTCGAATCGATGTCAACATTCGAAGAAGGCGGACGATATATTTATTCTTGAAAGGCGATCGACCACGAACCACAATCAGTGACGAAAATAACGATTATTCCCACAGTCAATCAATCCATCGAACGATCGATCTGGATATCGTTCCCGCTTGTGCCAGAGGTTGAGAAAACGAAAGGGCGAAAGTTTACCAAGGGTATTCAAAACTTACGAAGAACTGATTAAAGGGACGCTAAACTTGCCTTTAATATGCGCGTGGTGACGCTGAAAAGTCTGATTACAAAACCAATAGAAATACAGAAAAACAGATAAGAATTGTAACTATGTGGCTATCTAAGATCATTCTGAAATTAGTGAACTAATCAATAATCAGTCAAAAAATGAGCCTTCTGGCAAATGTCCTTAACAGTAAACGGCGGACTTACGGACTTATGCCAGCTCAATTATGAGCCATCTTTTTTTACGGACCCGCTAAATTACCGGAACCTTCGGGAAAAGGCCCAGTTCTGATCCTTCCCTGATCCATTTCACAGCATTCCCAAGATGATATAGCATCAAGCTCATCGTCACCAGTTCCTTCTCCAATAAGCGAGGAAAGTCTGGCTTTCCAAAGATCACCGCGGGCGTCTCCATTTATTCTGGACGTGGATTCCGTGATTAGCGAAAGGCACCAGGTAAGGGATCTGTTTTTCTCATCATAAAACTGAAGTTATGGTGATTTTGACCCATGAATTGCAACAGAGATTGGAATGATCTTTTTACAGATACTTACTTTTTATTTCATGAAGGCAGTTCAAATTCTAAGATATAAGAAATTTCGGTGATTCCAACTGGTTGGTGCATGGGAAGGCCGATCGAAGCGGAATGCGATTGTCGGTAGCCTCTCATTTTTTTCCATCAGTAGCGAAAAACAAAGGCATGAATAAGCTTTGATTTTAATTCACTTACTTCTTCATGCTACTTGAAAAATACAAAAAGATGTCTGATCGTCAAAATACAGATATTCCTCTTTGAGTACATTGAGAGTTTGAAACAGAAGATGGAAAATTCCATTTTGACCGTTTCCCATAACTTGAGTGATGCTCCACCCCTCTAACGGCTAAATAAGCAAAGTTTTGTGTGTCATTCAAATTTCTTCATAGTCTGTAAGAGAGCTTTTAAAGATCGCACTACGCAATTATTATTTTTTTTTACGATAACATTTTATTACTCCTTACACTATTGATGGGAAAATTCAGAATCATGGCTCATAAATTTTGCCTCACGCCCGCGGATTATTTTCCAGAACCTTCTGGCCGAGGCTTCAGCCTCGCCCAGTCCACAACCGAGTCCAGCCGGAAGTCCTCAGATAAAAAGAAAACTGGCTCATACAGTATCACTTCCACCAACGTCAATTCATCATTACTTGGGCGTGCAGGGACAGAGCAAAGACATTGAGGACAAGAACGACCCTCCCCCAATGGTACAGATTCTAGTTATTACTTGGTTTTGTTTCCACTAGTAGAATGCTCGACTGATGCAATGGTATCGCGACGAGACATCACCCCTATATTATACCTTGACAAGGGAATTTCTTCTTTGGTTGTTGCAAACGGAAGTCGAAGGTAGAATCGAGTTGTAACCGCAGAACCCCCTCACTCGTGTCCAGGACTCAAGCAACTTTATAATTTCTTTCTCAATGTTTAAGATTTTCTTATTCCTATTTCCCTCCATCCTTCTTTCTTAACTTTCTTTAATTATGAAATTTGAGAGCCTGAGCTTGTAATGGAACGATGTTAACTCCCCCGACAAGTGATGACACAAACGAAAAGCATCAATCAGGAGATTAATAATTGATCCAATACCAAATTCTCCGGAGTATTACTATTAGAATTGTATAGAAGACAGCAAGGAGATTTTGCGAGTGGAAGAGTTGAAAGTTATTTAAGAACTCTCTTAAATTTTAGCGCCGTTCAAGAAGGAAATCTATCGATGACGATGAAATCTACGTCAACAAAAACCGTCAAACGTCTGTGTCACTGGTAAGAAAAACGTTGTTAATGAATGTTCATCTCCTCTTTATTGAAGCTTAACTTTTAACTTGA